ATGCGATGTGCGGGGCTTGATGAATGCAAGGCTGGGGTGAAAATTGCTGGAAGAAACATTAACAACCTCAGATATGCAGATGACACCACCCTGATGGCCGAAAGCGAGGAGGAGCTGAGGAGCCTTCTAATCAAGGTGAAAGAAGAAAGCGCAAAAGCCGGGTTGCAGCTAAACGTCAAAAAAACCAAGATGATGGCAACAAGAATGATTGACAACTGGAAAATAGAAGGAGAAACCGTGGAGGCCGTGACAGACTTTGTATTTCTAGGGGCAAAGATTACTGCAGATGCAGACTGTAGCCAGGAATCAGAAGACGCTTACTTCTTGGGAGGAGAGCAATGTCCAGTCTCGATAAAATAGTGAAGAGTAGAGACATCAGACTGGCAACAAAGATCCGCCTAGTCAAAGCCATGGTATTCCCTGTAGTAACCTACGGATGTGAGAGCTGGACCTTAGGGAAGGCTGAGCGAAGGAAGATCGATGCTTTTGAACTGTGGTGTTGGAGGAAAGTGTCTGAGAGTGCCTTGGACTGCGAGAAGATCCAACCAGTCCATCCTCCAGGAAATAAAGCCCGACTGCTCATTGGAGGGAAAGATACTAGAGACAAAGTTGAAGTACTTTGGCCACATCATGAGGAGACAGAGAAGCCTAGAGAAGACAATTATGCTGGGGAAAGTGGAAGGCAAAAGGAAGAGGGGCCGACCAAGGGCAAGATGGATGGATGGCATCCTTGAAGTGACTGGACTGACCTTGAGGGAGCTGGGGGTGGTAACGGCCGACAGGGAGCTCTGGCGTGGGCTGGTCCATGAGGTCACGAAGAGTCGGAGACGACTGAACGAATGAACAACAACAACAATCATAAATAAGGATACATTGAAATAGGAAAGTTACATTTCATTCAAAAAATATTTTAAACTGGAGAAGTTAAAAATTGCAACAAAGAAAAAAATGCCTTTTATCAGTGCCTAAAGAACTTCTACAACAGATGATATTTAATACCATTTCTTTATGAAAAGTATTGTAAAATCAGGTTTAGTGAAAATATTTGCCCATGTGTGGTTCTACGTGGGTAAAATATCTCAGAACTGATCTAGAGTGTTGAACTCCAGATATGTCCTGGGATAATCCTTACTGTCAGTCCCTGATGCCATTGTGGCATCAGGGACTGACAGTTCTTGCTGTAGTGGCAACCATTGGGCAAGAAATGTCTTGTCATGTGAAGTCATATTGTTCAGGTGACCAGATTGATATGGGAGAGGGGAGGGGGAGGAGTAATTGCCCTCTCCTTCCCCCTTATCTGATTGTCCTTGTGTCTCAGCCAACACCACTTTAGAAGACAAGCAAAAGCCACCAGCCATTGTGTGCCTGATGGTTTCACTTACAACAAGAACAGGAGAGGGATGGCCATGCAAACAGGGAATATGGGATGGCCATTCAAACAGTTGCAGCCAGTACCATAAAAAAAACTGGCACAATTGTTTACATGGGCCCAGAGTCCAGGTTTGCTCCTACGTTTAGGGGGAACCACAGACGAACCCACAACTTTTGTAAAACGGTTCAAGGCTGTATTTACCCAAATCAACTCTGTGCATCATGTAGCCACCTCAGAACTGATTCTCCTCCTCCCATTGGAGGAGGTGTCTGTGTAGATGTGCCTCATATAACAGTTTCAGTAGATCTTGGAACAGCTATCAAATATGTATACATGAAGTATCAGTATCATTCTGTCTAAAACAGGACCTCCCAAAAGTTTTGAGATGGTATATATTATTTTAAATAGAATAAATCAAAAGGAATGTCCAATTAAAGTGAAACAGTGTAGTGTGATCACGGTAGCAGAGCAGGTTAAACCACTAGCTGCAGGAAAGCTGCTGACCAGAAGGTTGGCAGTTCAAAGCTGCAAGTTGGGATGAACTCCCAACTGTTAGCTCTAGCTTCTGCGAACCCAGCAGTTTGAAAGCATGCAATGCAAGTAGATCAGTGTTAGGTACCACCTTGGCGGGAAGGTAAAAGAACACCCCATGCAGATATACAGACATGCCAGCAACACAATCAAAGACAACAGGCCCCTTAGCATGGAAAAATGGAAGAAGAGCACCTCCCCATGGCCAGAGTTGAGCATCGCCTACATATGCCAGAGAGGAAAAAGGGGAAGATCTGTGTTGTATGTCTGTGTGTAAAAGGCAATGAATGTTTGCCTCATATGTGTATTATAATCTGCTCTGAGTCCCTCCAGAGAGATAAAGTGGAATATAAATAAAGTGTATTATTATTATTATTATTATTATTATTATTATTATTATTATTATTATTTATCTGTGCTAAGAGGTCAGTCTATACAAGAGATTGAAAAAAAATCCTAACATTAAAAAAAATCTTGAAAAGATAAAACAATTAGATATTGGCTTGTTATACTGACTATATATAATGCTCCTACTATATATGAAACAACCAAAGAGCAACTTTTCCTAAGAATAAGGAAATTCGGCATGGCAGAGGGAGGAACCTGCTTTTGAAAATCCCGAGAATAGCATAAAATTACTCATTTGAATTCTAGGCAGCACATCTGAATTAGATCATATTTTGTGTTTGGATAGCTTCATAGGTTTTGATTGAGGCAGGAATATCAATACTAGTTTATTTAGATAAAACACAACTGTCCATTCCGTGAGAGCATTGGGTGCATTATACATAATGTATGTATCTCTTTTCCAGGTCTCTATAAATTACATTTAGAAACACTCTTAGCTTGGAAGTGTGCTATTTACATTAGCAGTTTATTTTAGTTTTGTTCTTTAAACAGTTGAAGTCGGACCTGGATATTTGCTATAGTTTTGCCTGACCAGTGTGCCCTAGGTGACATTAAAACCATAATCATCACACCATTTCATTGAATTCCACATCAAAAATATAATACAAGCTCATCTTCTCAGTAGAGATGATTTAAAGCCCTGGGTAGATTTTTTTTTACTGTTTTGAACCAGAACAGCTATATACCTTCCTATAAAATACCTGTGCAAAAAGAGAACTTCATTTTTACTGCAATGCCCTTCTGTCTAGAGGGAGTCCTATTTCTGCTTTATATATTTCCAGAAACTCTGCTGTTTTCTAAATTTATGGACCAAAGAGAATACCACTACCTGAATATATACACACAGATTTATCACCACCTGAGTTTTTTATACCATACTAGACAAAGGAAACACACAGTTTCTACACATTAGCAGTGAAATGTATTGGCGGGAGGGGCAAAAGAACTTTGCTATAAATTACCTAACCAGTCTTTCTGATTTATAGGCAATATACAACTGCATCTTTTCCTCCTTTCATGACATTGTGATTGATGTCACAGGCAATACCATACTTGGGTTGCCTTTCATGCTCAGACAATAAAGTTATAAGTAAAAGGAGTTTTTATTGTTAATTATGTATGCCACAACAATAAAAGCAAAATGCAATCCCGCTGACAACCATGTGTACAGAATCCAAAGTGCAAGTCAATCTCTAATGAATCAGGATGCAGCAAAGGGATCGTGCTTTGCTTGCTTATTTATTTCATTTAGATGTCATATAGCCACAAGATTCAAAGAGAACTGTGGAGCAAGTATGGCATCAGTGATGGAGAAGTAACCTTTTGAAGTGAAAAATCTTATCATGATAATACCATCAGCTACTGTCCCCAAGAAAGCTCCTCATAAACAAGATTGTTGCATGGATCTTTGGTGGAACAAAGGGTGGCTCTACTCAGATCCTTTATCCTGGGCTGATCCATAGTGGTGAATGCCAGATCAGTCCTTGGATGATTTTGACCAGCAACCCACAGTCACTGTGGAAATGAGAAGGAGTCCTGACCATCCAGCAGTGCTGAACCCGAATGGGCACCACCAGATGGCCATTCTTCCTGTCCTCCTTCAGTTCTCCCCAGTGGCCAATAGATGCAACATAGCTATACTTAATCACATCTTGCCAACAGAGAAGTTGGCCAGGGTGCCAGGAGATGGGAGGAATCTCCCCCTCTTCTCCCCTTTCACTTCTCCAATTGCCTTATCAATCTGGCTAGTGCCACTCCAGGCAACAGGCAATTGACACTAGCCATGCCATGCCCTCTAGTGTGTACAGTGACCAACTTTGGGGCATGAATTTAAGGAAGATCATACTATCCACTTTAAATCCTGTGGCTGCCTCCTGCAGAATAATGCGGTTTGTAGTTTAATGCAACCTCTCTGGCTGAGCAGTTAAAAAGTTGCTCCCTAAAGGGGTTGTGGCAAATTTGTAGAAGCATGGCATCACTCTAGAAAATATTCATAGAATAGATAATATATTTTAAACAAAATAATTAATTATTTATTATCTGTCAGTGAAACTCTTCTCATGTACAAAGGCTGCCCCACTTCACTTTTTCTCCTTGTCCTCTGTCCTGATTTTAGCAGCATGAGCATTGGGAGGACTGTGCAGTTCAAGTTCAAGTACACTTTATTATGGTCAGTGACCAGCCCAAGAGAAGAGGGACACAGTCCTGTGCAAACACATTGGGTTTAAGGTTAAAGAGATTTAAAACTCAAGAGATTTAAAATAAGTGCATCATTGCCAGGACATCAAGACAATTAACCCAAGAATCTAAGCCAAAAGCCATATACAGGATTATATCAAATTTCAACACAATTAATGGAATTAAAAGGCAGAGAGTCAGAAGGCAGAGAATTGGTTGTGTAGTAGGATTGGAGAAACACAGACATTCAGTGTTGGGTTGCAGCAGCATTGTCTGCAATAAACACTGCAATGAAACCTGAAGTGGGAAAGAATGACTGACCTGACATGGCTGTTTCATTTCATATACACAGAATATTAGTTTTGAATGAAAAGTTTACTGAAAAACAGTGAACATTTCCTTATTTTCTCTTCTTCCCCTCTCTTCTTCATTGCTGTCTTTCTCCTCCATCTCTCTGCTTTCGCCCTCTTCATCCTCTCCCTCTTAATCTGCCTCTCCCTTTCCTCCTCACCCTCTTCCTTCTCTTCTTTCTTGACTTTTTCCTGGAAGCTTAGGGGTTGATCACTTAGCCTCATCCCTTTCTTCACTGCAGGGATGGATCTTGGGTCAGCCATCAAGCCAGGAATGAGGGATGAAGCAGAGGACAGAGAATACATTCCCTGTGATGTCCCATATCACTGTGTGCCTCTATTTTGACTCTACCTCTGAAAACTACTTTCTATACCTTTAAAGACTAGTATCTCAAAAGTGTATTAACTGTATGTGTCAGCTGTAGAAATATTCTAAATATTGTGTGAAATATTTAGTAAGCTAATTAATTTTTATTCCTGGAGTAGAGATAGTATCATTCCATAATTTAATAAACAATTTTCCCTTTCAGATCTTTTGATAAGAAGGATCACAAAAGTGCCAGGACATCATGTATGGCATCTTTTGTGAACACACAGGGTTTCTTAACATCTGTACATGACAGCACACTATGAGGCATTGTCAGCATAATATTTGGGAATTATTTTAAATACAGTAAACCTGTTTCCACCCCATGGTACAGGTTCCCCACAAAAGTGAAAAAAACTGTGATTTTTTTTAAAAAAAAATTACCAGAAAGAACATTTCTGCAGGAATCTTTAGGTCTTCAAGCATTAGTCTGGTCAACTTCCACCAGACATTGACCACAGAATCTGGAGGACATAAAAATTCATTAAGAGGTTCTGCAGCATGACTATATGGCAATTGTACTGGAGGACTTAGAGTTTCCTAAAGAGTATTTTCATCAAATCTGCAAAAGTCAAATGTTGAGCATCAGCCACAGTTTATTAATTCTAAGCCAAGTTTCCTAGACACTACTCTTTCTGGAATAAAAATCAACCAAATTATTAGTTTAAACCATGCTAAATGCACATTTCAAATAGTTCAGCAACTACATGGACTGCTGACACATCAAAGTAATTAGTGGTAGCCTTAATGGGTAGAGTGTTATATTTGAAATGTCACTTTCAGCTAATTAAAAACTCAAAGTCTTAAGGGCTCCAGGGAGAAGCTGTTACTCAGTGGTAAAGCACATGCTTTGAAAGAAAAAGGTCCCTTGCTTCAGCTCTGATTTTCGTATCCTGCCATCACTAGGGTTTGCAAAATATATTTTTACTACAACTCCTAGAATCCTGTAGCCTGCGTAACATGCAACCCAACTGATTGGGTTATTTGGAGAGTTGTAATCCATAGAGTGTGAACTTGACTCCTTCCTTCAACCCAAGATAACAACTTCCATTCACTGTAAAGAGGACTCATTAAAATAGACTTATGATCTGACTTGGAATAAAGGCGTATTCTATGCTTTTCATTCATAATAACCAGTTTTGCCATATTGCCTAACAATTCTAAAATAAAAAAACAGCAAATAGTACCACTTATCTCTTAATGAATATGGTTTACATAAGGGAAAATATGTTTTGATTCCTTGTAATGCTTGCAAGGCGGAGACAGAAGGGAAGATTTGTTTGTATTCTCCTGATATGTAGGGGAATGTAGGAAGGTGTATATGTTATGTTGAATAATAACGGCAGCAGCTTAATGAGAATCTGAAAAACAAGTCTATGCCAATTTGTTTGTATAAGAGCTTTGCATTACAAATAGCTCCAAATAAATACCCAGTTAGAGTCATGCAATTTATGTATTAGATGAGAGCTGGAAAATCAGCTACCTTGTTCTCAAAGAGATTATACCTCATTACATTAATTCATTTAAGACCCCAAATCACCTTTCTATAATTGATTTATGCTGTCAGCAATCGGGATACTTGGGTGGTATCTTTAACTCATAAGTAAAATTTGGAAAATTACTTTTAAGAAGAATGAATACAGTGACATCCTGAAACAATCCATAGCAGAGCAGTGGTGGCTTCCAGGAATCCTGAGAGCTGTAGTGCAGAAAAGTAAAATATTTGAGTTCCAAACATGATAATACCAGGGTCAAGTGAATGCGAAGTAGTGTTGCTCTCTCTCTCTCACACACACACACACACACACACACATTACTCTGACCTATATGACGGTTTTCTGCTCAGATGATAATCTGATATTAAAATAATATGAGTCCCTCCTCTCTCTTTTCTTTCTCAGTTTGGCTGGACATATCATTAAGCATATGGAGAGAGCAAAAGAATAATGTTATTACCATGGAAACAAAACAGCAAAGCATGTTTAAATCTTAAAGTATCATATTTTGAGGACTAGGTCCAAAGAGCTAATTTACAATTCAGGAGGGTCTAAAGAGAAAGAATACTGCAGAACTTTGTACAGGATTTGAAAAAGTAATTTAATCCTTTGCTCATTGAGTAGTAGGGGTTTTTCCACCTCATCAAATATATCAAATATGTAACTTGAAAGCAGTGTTTTGCCTTTCATTGTGTTATTCATTATCTTGCCATTAGCGGTGCTGAGAGGGAAAGCAGCTTATCTTCCAAGTCCAGAGTTCTCTTCCTATTACTTGGGTCAATTGCCACTCGTTGGCATCCTGTTGGTTAGTTCCAACTAGAGTAGATCTGTCAACAAATGGTGAATGGTGAATCAAAAAATAACTGAATATAATTGATTTAGTAGGGACCCATCTACCTTGCCATATAAAACAGTTTGAAACTGCATACTATGGCCAGTGTAGACTCATAGAATGTAGTTCAATACATTATATGGCAATGTAGATGGGCCTAGCTCTTCTCTAGTTAGGAGTGACAATAAAATTTAAGACAGTATCAAAAGTGAAGATCTAGGGGTTTTTTGGCCATTTTTCCCATTTATTGACAGGACCTGCTGATTGTCATCAAATGACACTGGGTTGACCCCACCCACATTCCTCCTGGAGGGGAAGCATCCTTTTCCCCATATTATGGGGGAAAGGGCAATGAGATAACCCAAGTTGCCACCCTTTCACCCATCTGATGGGTGTTGGTGCCCTGTCCCGTCCCCACCATGTGATGGGGAAAAGAGGGATCACCCTGAGAACCCTCCCTTTTGCCAGCAATTGCAGGCGGAACAGCACACCGTGTTCTCCTCAAGTGTTCTTCTTCTTTCTCAGCATGGAACTAGGTAGCCTGTGCTCAGTGTTATTTTAAAGAAATCTAGCACTTCTGTTCATGAATGGTCGTATCATATCTTAGAGCAGTGAGGAATTTATCCCAAGCCAATATCTCTAGAAACAAGAAGATCAGCACACTTCTCCCTAACAAAAGCTGTCATGATGAGTAAAATGATATTCAGTGCAGGGAGAAAGTAAGATTTCCCCACCCATTCTACCAGTCACTTAAAAATCTGTTGTTTTGTTCTTGAACATAAAGTATCTTGTTATAGATAATTATGCTACTTGGAATCCATTACACTAAGAAATAGCTGGACATAAATTTAATATACTTTCCACCTCATGTTTCTCTTATAACAGGTATAGAAATGCAATAACCATAGGTCTTTACTAATATAAATATCAAAGGCACAGGAACAAGCAGCTCTTTCAGGTTCTAGTTCACCAGTTGTCCAGACAGTTGCTCACAAACTCACTCTGAGCAATCTTCACAACCTTCTTATGAAAATAGATTATTCTCAGTGTAATCATGCTTTAACTAGTGAAATCACTCGTTGAGTTGATACCAGAATCATAGTCATAAACCAGCTATTCCATTCTCTTAGACCCAAATATCTAATCAATCGAGTTTAGCTGGGTTTTTTTTAAAGGGGTGTGTATGTTGTTTTGGGTTTTTAAAAATTCAAGTGGAATTTCCAGCCGTTTGAAACATTATTCTTTTTTGAAACATTGGAGGAAAAACTGGGTGCTTGTCTGCCATAAAACCAACAGAAGCCTTTAGGCTAAGCAAAATTATATATTATAGTAAGTTATAAGGCCATATATAAGCAAATGCCAACTGTGTAATTATCCTAACAGCAAATAAACAAATGACAACAACAATTTATTTCAAAAACAATGTGTAAGTAATCTAGTATGTAACAACAGCAGCAGCCTACAGGCAGTACAATATCACTCTGACCTAAATTCAACATACAGTAGTGTAGTGTTAAGAGCTTCATGTGGACCTTATGTGACATCGACTTACATAATTCCTCCATAAATTACTTTAAAGTCCCAATGCTGCCTCATATATGCTTCAATGTGAGCAAGCAGGACTGGAGAACTTCTGATTACCTTCCACCCTCCACTTCCTTGATGGCCATGCAACAATATCAGCACGGGATCTGTAAGGGTTCCACTTCTGCCATCATTGTGCATCTAGCTTGAGGCAGATTGCCAGACACTTCTTGGATCCTGCTTACTCATGCTGGAGTAGGGAATGCCTGTATGTGGCTGTTATAAGACTTTAAAGTAAGTTGAGAGGGTAGCTTTTGGCACTTTGAGGACATGATAACATTGATATTGCCCTCAGAAACCTCTTTCATGAATGTGAGGAGCACATAAGCATGTCGATGTACCAACCTGATTTTTGACCAATGTATAAAAACTTGTAAAGACATATACAGTCAGACAACAATTCAATAGTAATAAATAGTCCTAAAAACAGACATGGAATTCCACAAGGAAAATTAAAACCATATGCACATTCCAAAATGGGGCACATTCCCATTATGCATTATGTTTTAACAGTAGTAGAAATATGTAGATTTTTTTTTCAATTACCAGAAAATGCCTACTAGATCCAGTTTCATTACCCTCACAATATTATTACTCGTAATCACTTTACTATCCAAACTGACATCTCATAAGTAGCCAACCATTATTTTGCTTATCTGAAACACTTCACAGAAGCTTCTGTTTCTTCAGTTAAAAATCTGATATCGTCTATTTAAAAATCCTCCAAATGCCATTGCTGAAGGACCTATCTTATAGGCCTGTGCGACCAATGAAAAAAAAGTTTCAATACTTATTACTAAATTAGGGACAGTGGCAAATAATTTTTAAAGTGTTTCTAAAATATTTTAAGGAGTCAGTATCATACCTATAAATATATAATGACATTTTTGGTTATTTTTTCATTATGTAATTGTGCAGGGGGGGCATGCGGGGCTCCTTTCTCCCTCATTTTTAGTGCTATTAGAATGAAACTTGCCACAATGGT